TAACAAATTATTTGAATGGTGAAAGAATTTCTACGATTTTAGACAACATGACCAAGTTTGTTAAAAATAATAAAGAAGATACCGAACCTGATAAAAAAGAAAATATACAATTCAATGAAGATATTGAATATATTATTAATATTATTAAAATGATGTTAAAATGTTATAATTAATAATGTTTATTTTATAAAGATCTCTTTAATGAATAAATAGTAGATATTAATAAAAAAATAATATTTATAATAAATATTTTCAAATATAAAAGAAGTAATTTTTACACAATTATAAATTATAAATACACAATGAAAAAATTGTCTGAATCAAAAATAAACCATATTATTAATCGTACAGTTGATTATTGGACTTATACGTTTGGTACTAAAAATCATGATACATCCGTAACAAAAAATGAACTTAGAGAATATATTAATAAGATTAATAATTATAAGTCAATTGATGAGTATGATGATGGTTATATGAATACTGCTATCGGTTATTTAAAACCTAAAGTCAAAATTATTTTAACAAATGCATATGATAAAGGTATTCATTACTGGGCTGAAGGAATGATTCATAGAGTTACACATCGTGTTTATCAAGAAATAATTGCATTGAATCAAAATAATAATAATGATAATGAATTAAGTAAACAATTAGATGAAGCATTGAAAAAAAATAAAAGTCTAGAAGATAAAATATACATAATGGATTCATGTATAACTCGAGTATTGGATGATATAGGAAAAACTAATAAAATTACTACTCTGTTGATAATGCTTATAATCTTCAAAAAGAAATGGATGAATTGGATAAAAAATATAAATTTTATTTAACACGATTAGGTTAAATGATTATTAATCAATATTAATTATAATTTTTATTTATTAATATTTATAATTAATAAATTCGAAAACTATAAATTTGTGTTGTTTGAATGTTTTTATATGTATTAAACCAAAAATGTCTATACCTAAATTTAAAGAGATCAAAAATATTTTATTAGATGAAAAAAAATGTATAGAATTTTTATTTGATAACGATATATTGTATAAGCCAGAAAAATGTATAGAATGTGAAGCTAAATTATCTAGAGATAATAAACGTTATCGGTGTATTAATAAAATTTGTCGAAAATCTATATCAATATTTAAAGATTCATTTTTTTCTAATAGTCATCTTGAATGTAATGATATTATGATGATTTCTTATTTTTGGTTATGTAAATGTCCACATAATAGTATATTAAAGATTAGTGGTTCATCACCAAATACTGTAACTGACTATTTAAAATTTTTAAGAGAATTAGTTGTTGATACACTTAAAGATCATTCTGTAAAAATCGGTGGAGAAGGAATCATTGTTGAGATAGATGAATCCAAATTTAATAAAAGAAAATATCATCGGGGTAGAAGAGTCAATGGTGTGTGGGTTATTGGTGGTATTGAAAGAACTAAAGAAAAAAAATGTTTTTTGAAAATAGTTGAAAAAAGAGACGAAGAAACTATTAAAGAAATAATTGAAACTTATGTTAAAAAGGGTTCGATAGTTCATACCGATTGTTGGAAAGGTTATTTCAATATTGAAAAACAAGGTGTTACACATGGAACTGTAAATCATTCGAAACATTTTACTGATCCAGAAACTGGTGTTACTACAAATATGATAGAAGGTTTGTATAACAAACAATCATTTCAACATTAATTAAATATTTATTAATAAATACTTTTACTCAGGTTTGTGGAATGGTATTAAATTACAAATTGCACCACGTAACAGAAATAAAGAATTAATTGAAAATCATTTATTAGAATACATTTGGCGCAGGATAAATAAAGAGCATTTATGGCAATCATTTATTGATGCATTACGTTCCACTGCTTATTACGATAATAAATAATTTGTATTACATTTTATATCATCACAATGTGATTATTAGATGTATTAGTACCCGCTATTCTATATTTCATCCGATATTATTATTAAGTAAACCTCCCTTTTGGTATTAATTAAAGTTGTTCATTAGGTATTTCCGGTTCTAATGGTGGTAAATTCATTAAGTTTGGACCGGTGGTACTTGCAATATTTATATCTAAAGTTTATAATCTTTAATCTACTTTTAAAAAAGAACTATTGGTCTGATTTTAATAATTTTACCACCATTAGAACCGGAAAGGTCTAATGAACAACTTTAATTAATACCAAAAAGAGGTTTACTTAATAATAATATTAATTCCAGAGCACTTTTATGTATTTTAGGGGGTGGCATTAGCAAAAATGGGGGGTGAAAATAGCAACTCTCTATAAATAACAACATTGCAATGAATCGCTAAAATAGTATCAGTCAGGATTTTAACCGGTCAGTCAAAATATTTGACCGACCGATATTGGTTACGGTTATGACTGGTCATTGACCAGTCATAGCCATAACCGACCCGGTGATCGAGTAACGAATGAATAAAATTGGGATGGCCTTAGGGTGATTGCCTAAGTCATAATGTGGTTATTTTTTATCTACCAGAAATTGTTCTAATGCATAATTGATTTACTACTTTTAATTTGATATATCCCAGATATAATACATATAGATACTATTAAATTTTAAAGATGATGTTATTGAATAAGATCCTGAGTGCTGTAGGCAGTTGCAAACAGTACGCCTTTAGGATTCATTCTTTGAGGATTTAATATACCATGCCATTACGACTTTGAACTTCAAGATATTATGCAAGCATGGGTTTTGAACTATTAGGGGTTCGAGACATTGAATCGAACTTTATGCTTATACAAATCTTGAATTATCTGGATTTTTTACTAAATATAATTCAGATGTTAAATGCTTCTTTATTTATTGTCTAAATTATGGCAGTTGAGATTTTATATTATTGTATTAGACCAAATGATTTTTGCAACGAAAATATTTTTATTCAAGATAAATTTCGGAATAAATTTATTAATCGATAGTCTTATTTTTCTTAAAAATAAAACATTAATGATGTAAAAAAAAACAAATAAAATTATTTAATTTCTAATTTTGACAATTCACTATCTACGTTCAAAATTGAATTCGTACAAGGAATAACTTTACTCGTACCACCATAAATGTCTACATACGATTTTTCTAAATCTTCAAGTACAGTTTTAGAATCATTCAATTCTGACAGAGTCTTTTCATTATTTTGCCACCCACTTATAATCTCGCAGAGTTCTTCTGCTCTAGGTCTATTTTTTGGCTCCTTGTCCCAACACCGTTTCATTAGTTCCACATAACATTGTGGTGCTTCTTTTTTAACGGATGGTCGTAAATTTTCATAACATATTTTTACTTGAAGCTCGATTTTATATAAGTTAATATTATATGAAACAGACTTTCCATACAAGATTTCCCACATAACTATCCCAAATGAATAAACATCAGACGACGTAGTATACTGACCTCCATTTAAAACTTCTGGGTCAATATAAGGTAAAACACCACAAACCTTACCATCATTTGGTTTCAAATACTGAATCGAAAGTCCCAAGTCAGCAATGTATGCATTATGTAAATAATCTTGTAAAATATTGCCACTATGCAAATCTCGGTGAATAAGCTCTTGAGAATGAATCAGTTGAAGATCAGAAACAATGCAATGCAGTAATGTTAATTTTTTTTCCCATTCCATTTGTGCTATAGAATGAAGATTCCTACGCAAAGAACCTTTAGACGCGAGTTGCATCACTAGAATATAATTTTTAGAAACACTGTCCTTTGAAATTCCATAGCACTTTAAAAATGTTGGATTTTTATTGCCAATATCCCAATATGCTTTTAACTTTTAAATTAAAGAGAGTTGGTTAATTTTCAATCATTAAAGTTTTAAACAAATACATAACTGAAACTACCTCTTTCACAAATTCCTCATTATGCTCTTTTGAATTATGGAGTAATTTAAGTGCAACAGGCTGTTCAACTCCTCGATCTTTATCTCTCCACAATGCATAATATACTGTTGCAAATCCACCTTTTCCTATGACTTTAATATTTTCAAATTCATTATAAGGAATCCAAGATAAAAAATATTTACCTTCAACTAATATTTCTTTTAAATTATTATCGATATCTAAATTATCATATATTTGCCTATTTGTTACTAACAACATTAGTTATTATTAGTTATACTGATTGTTTAACAAATAAATATAATCAATAATCGTTAATTACTTGATATTTTTTTCCGTTCTCTAATATTTATTTCAATTACATTTATTAAAAAGAAATATGTAATTTTATTATGTCAGCATAGGAATAACTTACATTTGGTACCATTCATTAGCTTTTTGTATGTCTCTTGTTACTCCAATTCCATTCCGATAACAGTACCCAACCATCTGTATTCCAAGATCGTCACCCATTTCAGCAGATTTTTTATAATAAATGAATCCTTTATATTCATCCTTTTCAACTCCAATTCCACGTTGATAACAGTTACCAAGTGCAAATATTCCATTAGAATGCCCCATCTCTGCAAATTTTTGATAATAAATGAATGCCTTATGTTCATCCTTTTCAACTCCAATTCCATTTCGATAACAGTCACCAAGTGCATGTATTCCGGTAGAGTTTCCCATCTCTGCAAATTTTTTATAATAAATAAATGCCTTATGTTCATCCTTTTCAACACCAATTCCATTTCGATAACAATATCCAACATTACATGCCCCATCAGCGTCTCCCATCTCTGCAGATTTTTGATAATAAATGAATGCCTTATGTTCATCCTTTTCAACACCAATTCCATACTTATAACAATATCCAACGTTATTTATTCCATTAGTACTGCCCATCTCTGCAGATTTTTGATAATTAATGAATGCCTTATGTTCATCCTTTTCGATTCCAATTCCGTTTCGATAATAATATCCAACATTGTATGTTCCATGAGCATTACCCATCTCTGCAGATTTTTGATAATAAATGAATGCCTTATGTTCATCCTTTTCAACTCCAATTCCTTTTTCATAACA